ATACAACCAGTCCATTTGATGTATCCCCATTTACGATAGCGCATTGACGCATAAGGATTAATGAAATATCCAGTTCGTTAGAACAAAACAATAGCAATGGGCAAGAACCATTCGCGCACACTCGGTTCGAAAGAACAAAACAATAGCAATAGTCATAAACTATTCGCGCCCGCAAAGTTCAAAAGAACAAACAATAGCAATGGGCAAGAACCATTAGCGCACGCTCGGTTTGAAAGAACAAATGATAGTCCGCGCACACAAAGTTCGAAGGAGCAAAACAAACAAACAACACAAGCTAAGACTGTTTGGATTCGATTAAAGCGGGAGCACCAACGTTGTTCGCAACTACACTTGGACAAAAAAAAGGGGGAAAAAGGAGCCAACAAAACAACCAAATCCAATCGGAAAACGTATCAGCACGATAACACTTAAACTCCATCAGTGTCAGGCTGCACATCCTCTCGACTCAGCTTGCGACGCAGCAAGGGACGCTCCTCCTCTTCGTCTTCGTCCTCAACTACCTCGCCATCCCTTCTGGCGCCCGCAGCTTCCTCCGCGACCGGATGCTCTGTTTCCTCCCGACGCTCCTCTTCTTCCTCCTCCTCCTCTTCTTCTGACTCGGAGTCAGACTCTAAGGGACGCTTCTCACCGATCCACATCTTGACGTGCTGGACCATCTCGCGAGTATCCCAGCGCAACCCCGGGTTCTCTGGACGAACCTTCTTCCCGACCGCGATCACGGCCTTGGTCATGGCGTCCGCCAAGATCTTCCCGAAAGAAGGACAAGACTTGAACTGGCGGATAGCCGCAGCCTCGGCCGCGCGAACAGCCTCTGCTTTCGCGACGTTATGAAGGTGGACCAGGTCGTCCTTCTCCTTCTGAAGCTCTTCGCGAGCTTGCCGCAACTTTTCGGCGAACGAAGCCTCCAGCTGTTCCCGGATGGTGGAGCGCTCCTCGTTCCGCACCTGCTCCTTAGCCGCCTCCACGTCGGCGGCTAATTTGCTCTGCAAAACGCCGAGCTCCTCCAGTGCCTCGTTGGCTTTGGTCGTCGCCACGTCGGCACGATTGTTCGCCCCGAGAACCTTCCCTTCCAGCTGGACGATCTGCGCCTCGTTGGCCTTCATCTTAGCGCGCTGCGAGGCGCGTACTTGTTGAGCTCGAAAAGTTGCCAACAGACCCTATAACCACAACGTCAAGAGCCTTAGCAAATAGAATAAAAATGAAAAGGAAAGACAATAAGAAAATAGCCCCAAACTACGTGCGAACTCGACCCGATCTTACCGCGAAATGGACCTGAGCTAGGTCATGAAGAGGATCGGACTTCTCTACTCGCGGAGGAATGCTGAGGACGGGCCCAAGCGCCCGAACGACAGTGTTGGCAGACGCCAAATTACATGCCGCCCCGGTGTGAATCCGCACATCACGGAAATAGTTCGCGCCAGTGGTGGCGGGGGCAGCTTTGACGGGGACAACAGTAGTAGGGGTCCCCCCAAACCCAGCCATCTCGGGCAACCTTTGCTGGATGGTTGCCCCCGACGAGCTGCCCGCCACATCTCTCTCACGACGGGCGGACCTATTCACCGGCGCCTCTGGCTCCGAAAGCGCCAGAGACAGCTGTTGCGCAGCAGACGGTTGTTGCGCCACCCGAGCAGTTGGCTCCACCAAACGAGCTGCCTTGCGGGGCTTCTCGACTGCTTGCGACAGCGGCTGTTCGATTTCCTTCCGCTTCGAAGTCCTCGGTGCCGCGCCAACCTTCTTCTTCTTGTCAGCGCGCGGCGCAACGTCGTCCACCGACATCATGCTGACAAGGCTGGAGAAGTCAACACCTGCGCCAATAAGTCGTAAGAGAGCGGTTAATAAGATAGAATGCAAAAGAAAAAATATATAACTGACCATCGCCAAACAGCTCCTCCAAGCAAGCCTCGCGAACACCCCCCGCGTATAGATTAATCCGATGAGGCATGCACGCCTCGTATTCATCGTTGAGCCCGTCATAATTGCCGGCATCCGACTCATATCCGAGCGTGCTGCCCTTCTTCCAGGAGGTGGGCTCCTCCATGAACTCGCTCGCCCATTCCCCGGGAGTGGGCTTGACGTAGAAGAATCGCTCAAACCAAGTCTTCTTCAACTTGGGCGATCCATACACAAAGCCGTCGGGGCGGTTGTCGCGACGCTTGATGGAAAGGCAGTCGCTTTTTGACGTGGGCTCCTTGATCTTGTACATCTTCCTAAACAAGCCGTAAGTCGGCTCGATGTTGAGCCTTTTGCACGCGAGGCGGAGACACCTCGCGTGCATGATAACTGATGGGGAGAGCCGCCCGACGGAACATTTAAGGCGCTGATACAAAGCGCACAAGAGCGGATCGATGGGGAATTTGAACCCCATTACCCAGTACTCTGAATACACGCCGAACCACCCTGGGGGGCAATGGCCCACCATGCTTCGCGCCGAGGGAGCAGCATACTCCCAATGGGGGGGCAAGCCCAACCCGCGGACTATCTCCGCCACATCATCAACATCATATATTGATGCGTGCTCGGGCCCGCGATTGAGGTTGTCGTGTGGCGCAGGCTGATCGCCCCACATCTCGGCCCACTCTATTACGCGGTACACAGCGCCAACACCTTGTGGCCCCAATCGGGCCATGGCCTCTGACAGGCGCACAACGTTGCGCGGCTCGGATTGCCCGCCAGAGTCTTCTTCTCGCGCTACTTCGTCGGCAGCTCCTGGCCTGTTGTCCCGATCCCGCCGAATAATCAGCACTCCCTGAGCCCGTTGCATCGCCTGCCCACTCCCGGAAGCAATCACACCCACGTCGTAAGAACCGCCGGGCTCATTCTCTGACCCGACGTCGAACGACGGCGTCGCCGGAACCCCACCGTCACCACCGCCGTTCCCACCATCAGAACCGCCATCCCAATCCCCAGAACCACCGTTCCCGTCACCGGAACGATCAGTAGAAGTGTGCGAAAGAGGGGAGAAATTACCTTCTTCGCCTTGCACGACCTCGGCCTCGTTGTTGTTGATGCTAGCCATGATAGTAACTCGAACTTTAGCAACAGCAGAAGGAGGAGCGAGGTTGTAGAAGGAGGAGAGAAATCTCAGAGAAAGAACGATCAAGAAAATAAGCAACAGTTGGAAGAAACAAGTGAGTCCTAACTCTTCCACAGCAGCCCCATATTTATAGTTGGCTAGGGGAAAACGAAGGGTTAAAGTCGGCCAGGGGAATGCGAAAGGTTAAAGTTACATAGGGATCTGTAACTGTCAAATCCTACCAAATCTTTTCGAAATTCAAAAAATCCCCGCCCCAATAGCCTAGTCATACAATGACACGTGGACACCCACCATTATAGGAACTAGTCGGCGACGCCACAAGTGTCGCGCACCGCCTGGGGGGCACGACACACCCGCGAGGAAGAAAAAACACGCCCCAAGCCCAACTCCAGTCGCGCGATCGGGACAACTCCAACTTCAACCGAGCGCGTGACTCAAGTAGCGCGCACAACGCATCGTCAACTCAACAAGTGTCGCGCGCCGCCTGGGGGGCACGGCACACCCGCGAGGAAGAAGATACGCACCCTAAACCCAACTCCAGTCGCGCGATCGGGACAACTCCAACCGCAACCATCGCGCGTGACTCGTATTACGACTCATCCTCAACGCAAAAGTAGCGCGCACAACAGCACGACGCATCGTCGATCCAAGGTGTCGCGCGCAACAAACAGAAATCCAGCGGAAAAGCCCAACTACAAGCACGCGCAAGAGCCGACCAATCGCAACTCAGGACAACTTCAACCGCAACCGGAGCGCATGCGGCAAGCGAAATGACGCGCTCGTAACAAGCGAAGTGAACCCGAAAGACCCACCCCACGGAGATCACGCAGGCTCGAGTCAATCAAGCGGAAATCTAAATAGGGGGTATTCACAGAACACCCCCTGATGGGGGCAATTGTTGGGCATATGACTCGGGCCTAGCCGCACCGAAGGAACACGGCGCGACCGGAGACCCCCCAGCGTGGTCACGCGAAGACCCCGAGCGTGACACCCCAACGTGGTTCACCACGTCCCGGCGCGAGAAGCTCGTGCGCGGAACAGGCTTCACGCATGTTGAAGGATCATAGCGTAGACCAGACCAAGAGGATATGGAAAGCGTAAATTCACTCCCTAAAGGACAGTCACATCAGGGCCCTAAGCATGGCCCTAGATAGGCCTCTGACACGTCCTAGATAGAAGTATGGCCTAAATCCTTAGTATGTCAGTAGTCACATCATTGTATCCTCACATGAGTCAACCACTCACCCACCACCATGTAGCCTATAAATATGGCATTTACTACGGTGGGTGAGGGGATCGCATTTTAGACATTCTATCTCTACGAACATCCACTTCTCTCTCTAAAACTTGAGTTCTCTCGTCCTCATTTCCTCGATCTCATTCTCTTAATCCCTGTTACTCGTGAGGTCATACATTTCCCCCTTTGCTTGCTCTCCTTGACCCACATTCATCCCCGAACCTCACTCCTACTCTCAGCTAGGTTCAAACATATATAGATAATGAAGTTCATGCATACAAGTTGTGAGAAAACAAGTTGTAAAAACAAACAAAGGTGCATGCAATCTGCCCTCTCTTGATCAGGAACTTATAAGGTTTATGAACAGCTGAGTTATATATTATTGATGTAAAGGTATATATATACCCATAACAACGTTTACAGTATACAAGTAGGATAATGAGGCAGAGCACAACTACACAAGTAGAAGTAGGAAAACTAGGTAGACAAAGACTTGTCCCTAATAGAACTGACCCTAGAAACGTCAGCCCGTAAAGCCAACATGCACATGTTGCGACCTTTATTCCCTTAAAATAAGTAATAGGTACCTATATCCCAACAAAAGGTAGACGAAGTACCAACGTAAACGTATATAGAAGCCAAGACGAGCTGGATAATTTGGCAGAGCACAAGTAGAAGTAGAAGTAGGAAAACTATTAAACATTACATTTAAGCCCCATTGTCCATGGCCAGCATAGCGTTGAGGTTCATTGGGGAGATGACCTCTGGAGGACCAGCCAAGACGAGCTGGACTATGATCCCGTTCGCCCTGTCCGTCAGATGGATGGGATCCCAGTTCACATACACATCCCGGTTCGGGCATAAGTTCGACGCTGGTGTGCACTGTCCTTCCCCGTTATAACGGCCCTGCCCGCAACACGCCACCCTTGTTTCGGTAAACCCTGGACAACATAGTCAATAGTAATTTTTTTTTATTTGTTTCATTGCGTGAATATAAATTTTGGATTTTCCCCCCAAATTACTAGAGTTCGGTTCAGTTTGCTGATACAAAAAATGAACAGGTATATTATATCGCCGGAATAAAAAGCGTTTTGTTATTTACCATAAGCGGCAGCGTTGGTGTATAAATCATTGATAACTCGATTGGTGTCGGCAGCAAGGAAGAAAACGCCTCCAAAATCACTGTTGAGATTCTGGGCCATCTTAACCACCTCGGCGTTAAAGAGCAGCGCAGCTCTCTGGAGCTCCGGATCGCAATCCCCGTTCCTGCTCCTCGCAGCCAGCGTCGCCGGCACGCACCCCAAGGGGCCGACGCCGACGATCATAACCCGGCGAGCCCCGAGCTGGTAGAAGCTCCGGAGGTAGTTTGTGTAGACGGAGATCAGGTAGGCGATGAAGTCGGTGAGTACCGGGTACTGGCTGGCCCGGGCAGAGAAAGGGAGGCGGTAATAGTTGAATAGGAAATCCCAAGTGCCGACCGTGACGAAGAACACTGCCCGGTTGATTAGTCGTTCAGCCTGCGCATTTCCTCCGACGACTCCAGCCAACCGGCTCCGGTATTGCCTGAACGAAGCCAGCTGCTCGGGCATCGTTATTCTGTTCCCCTACGTTCACCATCAAATGCATGCATGCAACAAGCATATAAATAAAAAGTTACTTGTTTATAAATTTAGTATTAGGGAAAAAAGAAGTGCAAAATTTCAGTAAACTTCAATTTAATTTGATTGAATCTATTGACCCACATGCAACTCTGGGATCTGTTCTACTAAAGAAATGCTCTGATCTCGTGAAAAGTTTGCTGATTCCAATTCTCAATAACTGAGTTATCAAGAGAGGTTTAATTATGAACCATATGCTATTTACTAGCCAACACACCATTTAAAACGAAAGACAATTGAGAAGTGTTAGAAATTTGCACAGATCCGGATATCGAGATTCGAACAGAAGATCTATCGGTCATAGAAGATTCTGATACCATATCAAATACCGATTAGTATAAATAATTAGAGTTGTTAGATGATGTTTAACAGACCTGCCTAAAACCATAAAAAGAAAGAAAAAGAAACAAAAATTTATGTGGAGACTTGGGGAGCTTACTTCCCGGACTCCGGTGTCATTCAAGATCCCAGTGGCCGGGGAAGCGAAATTAGCACAGTATAGCAGCCTTTCGCCGCTAAGCTGTGGGCTCAAATACGGCGAGGGGGTCTCCGGCAATCCAAGTGCGACACCTACGTAAATTTCCCATGCAGAATCAGCTTAAATACTCAACATATATATAGATAAACGCAAATTGCATCTACATAAGAAAAACGAAGGATATCTCATGCATGCATTGCGTTATGCGTATGCGTACTGAGGTAATCGGCCATGTTGCGGTAATTCGAGAAGCGGCCGGTGGGGCGGCCGGTGGGAGAATCGATCCCGTAAGGAGGGTAATCTGCGCGGACGGTGGTGTCCAAGTATATGTTGTTCCCAAAGTCTGAATACGAATCACCAAACACACACAGAGGCACAGAATCATAAGGCGGGGTCGGGCTGGCACCAACCTGGACAAGCAGGCTGCAGCCCAATATGGCTAGGCCCACTACTGCTACTGGGCCTAGCATCTTCGCCATTGGGGAATGGGCAGCCATGAGAGATCAGGAAGTCAAGGGATCGGAGTAAGAAAGAAGCAAAGGAAATATGGAGAGAAAGAGCTTAATCCACGTTCGATTGAGGTCCGACGGGGTGCTGATCTTGAGAGGCTTATATAGTACGTGCAAGGGAGAGTGCAAATGTTGGTAAATGATCCCTATGCCCGCCTTGTAGGTAGCCATTCCGTCGCAACACATCACTCTAAATTGCCTCATGTGAATGATGATTGATGAACCAAATACAACGACAATAGTTGTAGATGTAAGGGAGTGGTTAAGTACCATAGCACTTCCAATGCGTTAATTTATTGAGATCGGTTGGTTTAATTTATCACATGATACTTGAGCTAGTATGTACTTGAGGTTACGTGTTCAAGTTCTCATGATTCTCAATATTAATCATTTTTTTTAAAGCACATGATATGACTGGACTGTACGGAATTTCAATCTCATAAATTGATTTTTGTTCAAAATGGCATATAAAAAAATGATTATGTAAACCTCCTTTACCAAGAAACTAACTAAATATAACGGATCCAAATTTAACTTGGTATAAGAATGAAAAACACATCACTCTGATCGATTACTTTCTATTCCCTCCCCCCGTACGTCTCTCTCTCTGCCTGTCTTTTCTTTCTTCATCTGTTCCTTTCCCAGGTCCACTTGCACACACAACACAAACTCCTCACGCCCATACTTATGGTGGTTGTCTTATATAGAGGAGATATTACATGCCTCAGTTTTCAGTTTCCAAATTAAGAGAGCTTAGCTATATATTCATCTTTTCTTCGCTATAAATATCAGGAGGAGTTTGTGTTGTGTTTGCAAATACCGGAAGTGAAATGAAAGAAAAGGAAAGGGGGATAGAATAGACGACGAGGAGATCGAGGTAGAGGAAGAAAAGGATGACAATGAGACCATAACCGAACTGGTGGTGTGGTGTGTTGGGAGAGAATATACAGTGATATGGCATGGAGACCAGGAGATGGTGATGGAGGGAGATGGAACGTTGTTGGACGGTCGGCGACGTGTGGGCGCACCCGCCGGTTGGTGAGGTTGTGCTCTTTTCTTACGTGATTGTTGGTATCAATATTTGAACTAGCTTTGGGCCCGCCCATTGTTTAGGAGACTTTAGACTGAAAAATTACATTTATATAATTAATATGAGAAATGTATGTAACATATGTTTTTTTTACTTTAGTTATGTTGAATTATGTATAATGTGCTTACAATATAATGAGAAGAGGAGAAATATGATAAATATAATTTTTTGATCAATATATATATGGTGACTACTTTGGTGCACTCACAAAAATGAATACGTTCAATGCACCCAATTCAAAAACTACTCTTAAGGTGTCGGATTTAATTTGTAGAATTAGTGTAATATGATGATATAACACATGATCACAACTAATTAATGTATTACCCTAAGCCCTAGACCTCAAATTTTGAGGTTTTTCCCTAAGTCCCAAATTGTAAACCCTAACCCTAAATCTCTAAACTCTAAATTCTTCAAATAAAAGTAAATCTTTAATGGTTTTTATGCAAATTCATGTGCGTTATTGTTCATCACATCATAAGTAATGTTTGACATCATTTTGACACAAATCGCATGTTTAAAATGACGGTTATGAAGCGAGTGCACTGAATGCACCCAAAAAAGTGAGTGTACTGAAGACGCCACTATATATATATATACACACACATATATATATATATATGTGTAAGAATACGCTATCCAGAACTTGAAGTGACTGATCTTTCGGACACGATACTATACTCTAACCCTTAAATATCAAAATCTAGGTCTTAATTCTCTAAATCTTATACCCCAAGATCAATTTAATTAGAAACAATAATCGACGGTGATGATTCGTCCAAATATAGAGAAAAAAAAAATCAATGCACCATCTTAGGGTTTATAATTTATGATTTAGATAATTAGGACCTAGGATTCACTCATTAAGGTTTAGGGTATAGTATCATGCCCAAAAATCTTGCTAATTCAAGGTCTATATAGCGTTTTCATACTCAAAGTATGCGGTACCCCGGATTTCACCAAGGGTAGGCACCACTTATATATATAAGTAATTGTCTTTCACTACTTAAGTGGGGCGCCATATAGTTGAGTATTAGAGTTGCTTCTCATAATATATACATATCAATATAAAGGATAAAAGAAAATGATTGGTCGCTGATAGAGTTCAATACTCTCAATATTGTTTGTCCCAGTAGACAGTATCCTTGTTGAGCACAGTGCTGGCAATGGATCTGAAGTTGCAAGATTTGAAATATATCGGACATGATCAAAATTGTCACTAATAGTTAGTTGGACAACGTACTGTGTACGGGTGAATTTCCAAATTACTCTCACAATGCATATTCAACAAAATTGTTGCAATTCTTGTCACAACAGGGCAAGGAGTCAGATTCCTCCCAATACCAGAGATTCATCTCCAAATTTAAGTGTTACATAGCTAATCCCCAAAATTCAATTTGAACTATGATATAATTAGCTTAAAGAGCTAAAAAAAATAATACACATGTTAACATACTTAAATCCCATGAATAATGACCCAGTGTGGCCTAATCTAGATCCGCCACTTTCTCGAGGTGCTTGTTGATATGGATGTCAAGATAAGGCTTAAGGGTGGAAAACGTTTTGATTCGTTTAAACTGGACCGAATTAACCCGATTTCCAATGTTGGCAAAACATAAAACCAAAATCCTAATAGGTTTTTAAATGGTTTTAACCAAATTCAAAATGCCCGGTCTAAGTATGGTTTGAATATATAAATACCAGCTGAATCTTCCAGTTCCCTAAGAAAACAACCTATCTCTCCCGCCCTATTACAACCCCTAAACCCATCTATCTTATGGTCCCATCTCTCTCTCATCCATATGATGACTCTCTATTTGTAGTATTTTTCGCTCTCATATTTGATACAATCTCCTCTTTTATCAATTAATTTTTACTACTTTCGCTTGTATTTCATACCTAAATCATATACTATTTGATCAATGAGAAATTAGTATACTAGGCTTGTGTTTTTTAATGATTTTCAGGGTACAAAGCAACCCAGGAGGGTTTGGATCAAGCATTGGATAACACTTGAGGACTAAAAGAGCTATAACGAGATTAATATGAATCTTTCATGATAAAGACGATGTCCAATTGTAACACCCTATTTGAACACTCTCTTTTACATAAAATACTTAAATTTTATAAAAGGTTTTTGGGCCCGATTAAAATTTTTGCAAGTCAAAACACAGAAAGGAGAAACCCTTTGACAGTATGTGGAAACAGTTTCAATCTTTCGCCCACCTCAGGAATCAAAACTTGGAGCTTGAAGCCATCGCTTCTACTTCTACTACTTCTTGCAACTACTCTGGATCGGGGGGGGGGGGGGGGGGAGACGAAGAGTGAGTCGTCGTTCAATGAGTAAATTCTAAACCTAAATAAACGACAATACATAGCAGTATTTTGCATGAAACCCTTTTGTTACATGCCATATACTTTCATTTAAACTAATTAGAAACGAAACGGACGCACAGATTACGTTGTATCCACGAGTTTGGGACGAGTCCAAGGGAGAACTAGCACTCTCCGATCTTGTCTCTTATTAAGTATCGAAAGGAAGAAGAAAAATATGAAGAAAAGTCAGAGAGGATGAGAGAGAACCTATCACCATGCAACCTGGGCTTACAAAGACTCGTACAACGACATGGGTCGAGTCATACTCAAACCCAATACATACGTCAATCAATTTAGCTACTAAACACTATAGCTTGCCTAAAGAATCTTCTAAGATAGGGGTGGAAGTGGCTATCTCAAAATTATACCACTTGGATAAACAAGTGAAATAGCCACGGTGTTGGGTATTATATCTCATTAATTAGTTATTATTATTTTTTATATAAAAGTCAATATTTAGTGATATTATTTATTAGTGGCTCCCTCTCGCACTCCTTCTTGAAAGTGAGGAAGTTCCAAGTTCTTTCTTTAACGTCACTCCCGCATTCTACTACCTTTGTGGTTAGCTATTGTTCGTTGAGTTTACTTAATATATAGGGTAAATACAATATAATAGCCAAACCTTTCGTTTTAATCAAAATAATAGCCAAACCTTTTTGAAAACAATTTAATAGCCAAACCGTTAACTTTCCGTCTGGTCAATTATTAGTTGTGACGTGGCAATAAATCAAACTATGCGTCCTTCGTTCTCCTCTACAACCCTCTCTCCGCCCTCTGCCGCCACCAAACCGCCGCCCCTGTATTCAGATCACAACCCACCTCTTTCCCTCAACTGGCAATCGCCTCACAGGAAATCTAAAACATATGCATGACTTAGCTTTTATCCGCCTAGTTTGGTGTAACAATCCCTCGTTTCAAGCAACAAAATCTTGACCCTTTTGGCTTTGAGGGATCTTATTAGCTCCTCCAACTCGCTGGCGACGGAAGGTTCTTCCCTAGTTGGCCGCAGTTGCACCGACCCTCCTTGAGATCTCGGCACCCGAGAGAGAGAGAGAGATACAAATGCATCTAGCAAAGGTGCATCTATAGAAATAATAATCTGCCATTGGATTCCAAAAATATTAGAAGCCTCTCTCAAAGCAGATGTTCAGCTCTCAGCTTTCCAAATATCCTCCACCGCCTTGTAGGTAGCCATTCCGTCGAAACACATCGCTCTAAATTGCCCTCAAGTGAATGATGATTGATGAACCAAACACAACGAAAATGGTCATAGATGTAAGTGAGTGGTTAAATATCATAGCATTTTCAATAATTTGATTTATTGGAATCAGTTGGTTTATGACATGATATAAAAGTTAATTTGTACTTGAGGTCACGTGTTCAAGTCCTCATGATTCTCAATATTAACCATTGTCTTTAAAGCACATGATATGTCAGGCCTGTACGAATTTCAATCCCATAAATTGGTTTTTGTTTGAAGTGGCATATACAAAATGATTAAGTATCATACATGAATCTCTTG